CGAACTCCCAACTTCTGACTCTGTTGCCAGTCACCTAAACCACTGAGCTATCCAGCCTGCTGATTATGACATTCCTGACCCCAAATATACATATTAAAGCCATTTTATTTCATTTTGTTTCAAAACCAGACTGCCCCTAGGATTCCCTTAAATCCATGTCAGGTTTCATGATTTTGGAGCTATGGCTTTGACAGACAGATACAAATCCTTTTGTATTATTGTAGATTTAGATAACAGAGCATGATCTGCTTTAATTAATACAAGGCAAAACTCCTTAATTAGCGTGGTATTTGGTCCCTCCCCCCCCTCTCTCTCTCCCTCTCTCTCTCTCTCTCTCTCTCTCTCTCTCTCTCTATCTATCTATCTATCTATCTATCTATCTATCTAAATGTAATTTAACTTAATTTAATTTAATTTATATGCTGCCCATTTGGTTTCAGAGGCCACTCTGGACAGTTTACAACAAAATAGAAATGGTAGTCAGCAACTTTATATTATAACAGGTACATCAAAATAAAATTAATGGGTAAACATATACTTAAACATTATAGCTTTGAAATAAAGCAAAAATATATTTAATAAAAGCATTCAAGATAGCAGGATCAATAATTTAAGAGCTGTTAGATATCCTGTGTTCTGTTGATGGAATATTCTGGAAAGCCAGGTTTTCAAAAGTTTCTTAAAGGTTATTGGTAAAGGGATCTGGCGGGAGTCGGTTCCAAAGGTGTGGAGCAATCACCAAGAAAGCCCAATTCCTGGTCTTCTCCTTCTGGTCCTCAACTGTCCAGCCTGGGAAGTGTAAGCAGGGTGGGCAGATCCCATTGGAAGAAGTTGTTCTGCCAGTTGAGGTTCCAAACCATTTGGGGCTTTGTATGTTAGCATCATCACCTTGAAGCTGGCATGGAAATGAACAAATGAAATGAACATTATCCCTACAAAGGGATAATGTTTAAGGCTTTCCTCCAAGAAAAGGACTGCTGTTTCTAGAGAATAAATATATTGTGGCCATGATTGGCATCTTGTTAACCTCACTGTTTTTGGGGCTGCCCTAGGGGGGAAAATGTTTCAGATGCTACAGTTACAGATGATGCAAATTCAGTGATCAACATTTTTGAGAGGACTTGGACATAGAAGGCACATTGTGCATATGGTTTGCCAGCTTCACAGCCATGAATTGGCTTCTAGGCATAATTTGGGGCAGGGAGCAACCCAAAACAATTTACTGGGTGCATCAATCAGTTGATTGGCAAGTACAGAGTCAGAGAGAGCAGGGTAGCTGGCTGGAACAGTTCCAGCAGGCTGTCTTCGCATCTGCACATTGGTCTACCTTCTATTTTGGTAGTGGCGGCGGCAGCAGGACAAGGTAGGGAGGAGAAGGGGGCAGTGGGAAGGGCATGGGAGCAGACGGGGACAGGGGGTTCAGCTTGTGGTTTGTTGGAAAACCCAAGGGCAATTTGTAGGTCATCAACTTGGACGACCCATGAACCACAATAGGGAGGAGAAGGGGGCAGTGGGAAGGGCGTTGGAGCAGATGGGGGACAGGGGGTTCAGCTTGTGGTTTGTCGGAAAACCCAAGGTCAATTTGTAGGTCATCAACTTTGACGACCCATGAACCACATCAAACTGCAATTTTAGTGGTTCATCCCCATTTCTAGTCCAGACTATCAGATGAACTATATTCTTCCATACAAGCTTGTGTGAGCTTTCAGATCTGTAGGAGAGGCACAGAAAAGTATACCCGCTATGGTCTTTGCTCTCATCAGTGGTAGCTGTCTCAGCATGACAGGGCATCCTTGAAAATATGTCAGAAGTGGACCTTTTCTTTGTGTGTAATATAAGCCATACAATCCATGCATGTCAGACCCTTTCTGACCATCTGCATACTTTAAAAAAAAAACACAAAACAAAATACAAATCCCACTTTTCTGTTGCAGAGAAGTTTCCCAGTTGATAATGATTCCACTGCAGGAGAACGTCCAAGCAGTGAATGTCCATAGAGAATTAGAAGCCAACCCATGGAATTTGGCTCCTAAAGGTTTTAATGGCACCACAAGTTACCCCTCCCTGCTAGTTTCTCTTCCTATGGTAAATTTATCCTTGCAGAGGGAAATAGGCAACCAATGGCAGCAAAAGGTTGCTGTAAACAGGCCTCATCACTGCATGCTCTCAATGGTCAGAAATGACATTTCCTGCTGGAATGTCATTTCTGATACTCCCAATCCAATGAACAAAATACAAAAGGATAGGAAAATGTAAGTCTCATGTGCTCTGGCTGACAATGACATTCATGAACATGCTCAGAAGGAGGGTTGATTCCAGATTTTGATGGCAATTTGTTTGTTTTTCATTTCAGAATGGGTCAGAATGGGCAAGAGTGATTAAAATGGTGACAAAATGGAAGTCTTCTGGGTTGAAATGATTTTTTCCCCCTCTAGTTTCAGAAGGGAAAAAGCTAACATTAATAACCTAATTTTAAGGTGGATATCACACAGCTTTTCAATTGTTGCGCATATGACAAGACATACAAATATATTTTAGCTCACGTAGTTTCACTAAGCTCTTGGCCTGTGGGCTAAAATGTTACAGGTGGCCTGGTGCCATGCAAATTCATATTAGTGGCTCAAATCCCTCATCTGTCATTCCTAAGACTAGTTTGTAAAAGACCACTGAATTAAACTGCATTTCTGTACATTGGCTCCTATGGAAGCAATTTCAAAATGAGCAATGACACCATATGTTATTAATCATCACTGTTAGGTTGAGCACTCAATAGACCAAAATTTGCTTTTGTCAGACACAGCGTACTAGTACAAAAAAACATTATGTGTGTTTCTGTTTTACTGCACGAACAGCACTTAATCCTGGCTTGCTGTCTATCGTTATTTAAGATACATTTATAAACAGAGGTCTTCCTGAGGGACCCATAAATCATACATTACTTCTTAGTTGTGCCATATTTTAGCAGAGTGTTAACATGCAAAACTAAAGGTTTGTCACTTACAATGCTAATAAACTTGCTGTGTGGTGTTGTGTGGAGGCTAATCCATGCACCGCCCATACTGATGGCAGATATTGAATATGCAGGTTCACTTTACCAGTAGCTTTAATACTCTGCTGTAATGAACTTCAAAGCACACAAAGACGTGAGCTCTTCTCCCATATAGCCCCTGACCTGAGAGCTCTGCGTTTTATCTTTATATAAAAGGAAAATATGTCTTTCAAAGAAGCCTAGCTTCAGCTCTATGTATTGTGTCCACCACAGAATAATAGTCCGTGAAAAAGATCTATGGGTGTTATTTTTTCTAATGTAATGTTTGTTCAGGAGTGTTTTCCTTCTTTTGTGGAGGTTATAATTTTGGACAGCAAATATTTTTGCTTTCAGGTGAGATAAACACATTTTCCAATTTTGAGGTCTCTTGTTTTGGTAAGCCTGACTGGTGGGGAGATTTGATCTATCCTTTTTTTGAGCTGTTCAATTCACTTGGTGGTATAATCCTATTTAGGGCTTAGTCCTCACTGAACTGGTTTGGTTGCATGCCTTTCCATGGGAAATAATAATAATCACTTTGTGGTGGTAGGAGGAAGGACTAGCATATGCTTGATGATAGGATAATCACCCTGGTGACCATACATGCTCCCTCAGTGATGGTAATGAAGCGTTACTTTAATGCAACAATTTTTTTGTTCCAATCATAGGCTTGGTTTTCATTGACTTGACTCTATGCTGGGCTGTTACCTAGACTTCAGACTGCAAGAAAGGAGGCTTCCATGATTAAAGGTGGAGTTCTTAGATGCAGTAGATTATCTCGGCTCATAGACAGTTCCTCTGTCAAATACTAAGGGTCCCTTTTCCCCCTGAACCTGGTGCATTACATCCTACTTCACTGTGTGTAGCTCTCAAACCTTCTGTAGCATGGTGGTGCTGGTGGGGAGAGAGACGGGCAGACTTGCCATGGGAAGAAGGAGATGGAGAATTCTGTTTTCATTAGCTCATCTGGACAGACTTAAATTTGGATGCACAATCCTATCTTTTGAACAGCATACTTATGTGAACCTATTATTGGCAATACATAGGCACATTTTAAATTTTTTTATTTACACGGAAGTCATTCTCTCTCAATTCACAAATAGTAAAGATACATTAATGAACATCCCCCACATGCAGTATTAACATTATAAGAATGGGTAAAGATCCTTCCCTAGGGCAGTAGTTGGTAGCTCTGGGGTAGGGGAGGGAAAGGCAGTCACTTAGTGGCAGATGCAGTGTATACAAGGAAAAAATAGTTTTCATTAGCTTCTTTGCCAGTAGTTCACATATTGTGTGAAGTCATAAGTCCCATGATGAGGGCATGTAATAATTTTGTGTCTTCTGCAATTGATCAAAGACCATTTCTGGAAGTACTTTTGAGAGCGTCACTTCGTTATTGAATCTGAAAATATTTTGAAACAAACAAGTCAAGGTTAATGTGTGTGTGTGTGTGTGTGTCTTTATAAATGTGTGTGTTCTATGTAATAGGGTTGTCAACCAATAAGAGAATTGCACTTTGATTTATCATCTGCCCTTTTACCAACTAATCCATCAATTAATTGATTTAATTTATTGGCATATAACCAACCCACAGTTGTAGGCACCTTTTGAAAAGATTGAAGGAAGTATGAGACAATTTACAATTTAATAAAGAGAAATTATTGCTCATTACAAAGAAAGACTCTCTTTAAAGTTTGTTATTCTTTATTCTGTAATGTGCAAAGGCCCAAAACTAGCCGTGGACAAGAAACAAATGAGCCCGTCTCTTCTACAGTTTAATCAAATGGTGCTTTTGTTGAATTCTTTTCTGATTAAGCCAATAAAACATGCAGCTCTAGTGCCTGCATCTATATGTGTATACCCTTATACATATATATACACACACACAGTTTATGTATTATAAAGCTAAAGCTTATGCATGAGTATAGAATGCTAACTTATGGCTACTTGCATTTTACTTCTGTTTTCACAGGTGAAATGGGTGGTATATCAGACAGCTTATTAAGGAGACAAGCTTGCTGCTTTCCCAAAGTGGGATGACAGAACAAGTCACGGTACGTATTGTAATTTCAGTGCTGCAATACATCTTGAAGCTGTCTGAGGTAAAATGCTTGCTAAGCATTGCATTGGGGCTGTCAGAATGCTTCATGGGGTAGTAATTAAATTGAGGCAATTCTACAGTTCATTTTGTGGAACCAAGCCAAGACTGTATGTAGGCTAGAGATATTTTTCCCATAGACTTTGTTTTTTGTGTTTGTTCTTTTAATCGTGAGAACCAGATGTCTTTCATCTTTAAAATACTTTTCTCCAGTGAAATACATCCAACATTTTTGCTCTTGTCCATTCTGCTTTGTTTGTTTGATCCCACCCCCATTATACTTGAAGAAAAGAGGAAGGACATCAAGAATTTAAGATGTTTTAGCTTTTGCAGAATGGATGTTGGTTACTGTTAATAGAGCCATGGACTTGAAGAGTAATACAGTAATGCATGTTCTTGAGTGTGTGTGTCCAGTTCCTATGATAACTTCAAGTAGTGTGAAGACTACTAAATTTTTTCCTTGTGCCAATATATTTCAGCCATCTGCTATGAGCCATGTTATACAGAGAAGACATCAAATAGAGATCCTAGTAAATAAAACTGGAATATTCATTTAATATATGACAATTCTGCACAGCCTAAATTAGTTGACAACCAACCTAGGTTTCTATTTGCCCTGTTCCAAAAGTTGCTCAATATATTGTATACTAACATAGTGCCTGTTGGGTTATTTCTGGAAGTTCAGAGTTGTGTTTGTTTGTTCTTTCTGTTTTTGCTTGCTTTTTTGTATGGTATTTCTGGAAATGCTGAGGTATCTCAAGGATGCAGCCAACTTCCTTCTTGAGTGTAGATAGTGCTGTTTTTTCAACATCATAATTAGCACTTGGAAAATGTAAGTGGATCTCACTAAAGTAGGTTATATATTTTAAAATGATCATTGTTTGAAGGGTTGTTTGTTCCACATCCAGCTTAACAATGATGAAGTTCAGAAGGGAGGGTTGGATTCCTGAAGTCAACCCATGAACAATTAGCATCTAGATAATAGTTTGAGAAAAATGGTAACTGACTCACCTAATCAGTTTTTCCGTACTCTGAAACCGAAATTTTATTTGCCAGGTCAGAGATTGTGATGCCTGAACATGTATGTCTCTAAGAGCTTGACAGAACTTTATATACCTTCAGGGAAAAATCTGAAGCCTTCATTTGTTCCACTTGGCATTTATCCCAATTAACAGTTGATTCCAGAATGGAACCAGGCAATCTTTGGCAATCATATCAAAATTCATTTGAATATCAAGGTATTTTTTCATCATTGCAGTTGTAACACTTTTCAATTCAATGGTACTATTTGTTTACACAGGTATCTGTTGATAAACCTTGCAAAAACAATTTCACAAAGTGAGTCTCTTATTCATGAGTCTCTTCTTATAACACAAAACATGAGCAATTAAAACAAAAACAAAATACAGTTTGTGCATCCAAACTCTTGACAACCACCATCCAAGATAAAAGCTGCTTGTAGAATTGCAAAGTTCAAGTGTCCATTGGAATTTCAAATTCAGAAAAAAAAAATTCCAAGAGATCTTCCTCAGTTTCAACTTGTGATGTCCGCAGAGGTGGACAAGATCCTTGATTGCTGCCGAGCCTCCTCCTCCTCCCTTGACCCTTGCCCGGCCTAGCTAATCAAAGCTGCCAGGCTGGTGACAACTGAATGGGCCACTGAAATAATAAATGGGTCTCTTCTTGAGAGAAACGCTCATTAGGCCCATTAGAAAGTAACGGAGCTTGGCAGTGGGCAACATTGGCAATTATAGGCCCATCACCAATGTTTCTTTTCTCAGCAAAGTAATTGAGAGGGTGGTGGTTGACCAGCTTCAGGCTCTCTTGGATGAAACCGATGCCCTAGATCCATTTCAGTCAGGCTTCAGGCTGTGCCACGGTATGGAAACAGCATTGGTCACCCTGCTGTATGACCTACTTAGAGAGGCTGACAGGGGCAAAATGTCCTTGCTTGTCCTTCTCTATATATCACCCCTTTGATACCGTCGACCACGATATTCTCTTGGGGAGGCTCTCCAAGTTGGGGATTGGTGGTCTTGCTCTCGCTTGGCTCCAGTCCTTCTTGGAGGGCCATCCCCAGAGAGTGCAGCTTAGGGAGAATATATTGGCCCCGTGTTCCTCAGTTGTGGGGTCCCGCAGGGTTCGATAATTTCTGCAGTGCTGTTTAACATCTATATGAGGCTGTTGGGGGGGGTCATCCGGGGATGTGGAGCTTCGTGTCATCAATATGCTGATGACACCCAGCTGTACTGCTTTTTTCCATCTGCAGTGGATGCTGTTCCATCCCTTGAGTGCTGCCTGGAGGCTGTTCTGCAGTGGATGCAGTCAAATGGACTAAGGTTGAACTTGGACAAGACGGAGGTCCTGCGGGTGGGGAGCCCCAATGTCAGTGGTTTGGGAAGTTCGCTCTCTTTTGGGGGGCGGTTCTCACCATAAAGAATTTGGTTCGCAATCTGGGGGTCCATCTTGACTTGGCGCCTACCACGGAGACCCATGGTTCAGCCTGCCCACTTACATCTTCAGTGGATCACCCAGATGTGTCCCTATCTAGACACAGGGGTGCTCATTACACAGGTCCATGTGCTTGTAGTCTCAAGAATAGACTAATGTAACATTCTCTATGTGGGGCTTCCTTTGAGACTGATGCAGAAGCTTCAGATAGTTCAGAACACAGCGGCCCGGATTTTAACAGGGGTGAAAAAATTGCACCATATTTCCCTCACCTTGGCTGTTTTACACTGCCTACCTATCTGCTTCTGCATTGATTTCAAGGTATTAACCATTACATACAAAGCCCTTAACGGTTTAGGACCTCGATACCTGGCAGAGCCCCTTCTTCTGCCCAGTTCTACCCGTATCACCCCCTCTAGTCAGGCTGGGTGGCTGAGGACCCTAACGCCAAGAGAGGCCCGGTGGGAAAAAAACAAATTGAGCCTTCTCAGCAGTGGCCCCTCTCCTCTGGAACATCTTACCTGTAGAGATCTGCCTGGCTCCCTCACTGAGGGCCTTCAAGACTAACTTGAAGACATGGCTATAAAGGCAGGCTTTCCCTACAGCCATTACGTAGCCTATCTCCCCTTTTCTTCTTTTTCTTTTCTCTCCTCCTTCTTCTTCTTCTCCCCTCCTCTTTTTTCCTTTCCCATCTTGGATTAATCTGGATTTTACCTTAGTTTATTTTTATATTATATGTAAACTGACCAGAGTAGATGGATGGTATATAAATCTAATAAATAAAATAAAAAAATTCTTCAACTGTGTTGGGTCTTCATAACATAGAAGAATTAGCACTTAGTTTATTTTTATATTATATGTAAACTCCCAGAGTAGATGGGCGGTATATAAATCTAAATCTAATAAATAAAATAAATAAAAAATTCCTCAACTGTGTTGGGCCTTCATAACATAGAAGAATTAGCTCCACATGCAATCTTCAAAACCCTAGAATAAAACAGCAATTCAGTTGCATATATGTGAATTCACTTTGTGGATTAATCCCTCTTACACAGGAATAATACCTAGTTAGCAGTCTAATTGGCAACAGCAGCTCCAGCCGCCTCAGCTCTCTCGCTCTTTTGGATTCAAATCTTTTACTCACAGCCCTAGTCTTTCTTAGCCCCACCCCTTTGTGCTGAACCAATATTTCATAGGAGTCACACAATCATTTTAGGCAACATCAGCTTATCTAATTCTACAAACATTATTTCTACATTGTTTGTATGTTCCATAAGCACAAAAATTACTTCAAAAGCTAATAAGTCAAAATGCACTGAAAACATTTTTACATTAATACTTAAACAGAAATCTATCCTAGCAACTTATGGAAAGCTTCAGATATGATTACCATTCAAAATTCTAACTATGAGAAATTGCTGTCTTCTGTTGAATGTGTTCAGTTCTTGTGTGCATGTTTCTTATCTCCCTATATTTATAGTTCTTCCAGTTGTCTACATATCCCCACAATCTGTGAACAATCTCCTTTTGCAGAAGCCTGGGGCACCAAGGATTTTTTTTCAATAGGAATCTCAGTTGTTCCTGCACATAATGTAATTCCAGAGGTTTGTAACTTAGAATCTGGCAAGCTGCCAATAGGCTGATAACATTTTTGTTTTGACAAAAAATTTTTTTGGCAAAGCTTGGAGGAATAAAGGCCTGTTTACACCAGGCACTTGATGCATCAGTATAACTCCAAGGTCCTGGAACACCAGAATATTGTAGTTCCAAGGTATTGGAACTACAAGTAGAACTACTTTGTAGTTCCAAGGTATTGGAATTACAAAGAATGCAAGCTAGAGGACTTGCAACACCTCCTCCATATTCACATATTGTAACATAAACAATTCAGCTCTCAGGATTGTTGTGGTGTAGTGCCCTTGCTCAGCTAAGAGAACTGGCTAATTGTTTTGAAATGATTATAGCAAGCTATTGTTCAAGCCTCAATTTTAAAAACATTTTCATGACTATTTTTTCATCATCCCCCATAATTATTTTAACACACAAAATTTATATAAACAAAATTTCAAACATTGACGTTACTCCCTAACAGGTGAACATGGGGGTATCTTGTTCTTAAATCTTCTCTGTTGTTAAAAACATCCAGGGGGTTGACCTTGACGCTGGAGTTGAGCTGTCTCTGGTCAGACATCATCTGTCTGTAATGTCTTGGATCTGTTTTTGAGAGTTAATCTTCTATTGCTCACTGCAGGCTGGTCATTCTGTGTTGATCTGCAAAGCTCTGGATCTGTCTTCTGATCAAGATCTGAACACGTTGCTTGTTGCTCCTCCTTTTGTCTTTAGACAAGAGAAAAATGTGTGTCATGTTTAGGCTATTCAAAAAACTCCCCCCCCCGCTTTTCTAGCTTTTGAGAGAGGGAGAGAGAGAAATCCCCAAAACAAAAAACTGCTCCTCCTTTTGTCTTTAGACAAGAGTAAAATGTATGTCATGTTTAGGCTATTCAAAAAACTTTCCCCCCTGCTTTTCTAGCTTTTCACTGGCACGGATGAGGCTTTATAATATAGTAATAGTTTCTAATTATGCATCTATATTTATAAATTATGCCTCCCCCAGCCAAAACATGTGCATGTTCTCCCCCACCCAATTTTATGGTGATACATATTCCTTCTTTTGGTAAAGTGTCTCTGGAAGTTTAAAGCATTACCTCCCACAACCAGAAATAGTCAATATGCCTGGAAGCAAACTGGCAAGATAGGATCAGATCTACAAGTCTCAGCTGATAATTAAATTCTTAACCAGTTGTAGTTTCTCTGTGGTATTAACAGGATGAAAAATATACAAGTCTTTGTGATATAAACTGGCATGGGTAGCGGTAGTGTGGCTACAACATGCTTTCCCAAGAAAGCCACAGTTGCTGTGAGGCATTTCTGTGACATACCCATCAGAGAGTACACTTAGCCTGACTGGTCTGATGCTAACTCTGTGTGCACAATGTTTAATTTTCCACACAAAGGGAGAATTTATTGAGCTCTCTAATTGACACGTCATGTGGGCCCTAGTAGAGGGCTTGGTACTGGTATATGAGGGATTGAGATGCATATGATGTTATGGAATATCTTTTCAAAAAATGGACTGCTGCCGAAATCAGGAAAATCTCTTCATTCTTTTCCCAAGAGAAGTGAAAACTGTAGTTTGCAGTCACCATAGCCTCCCGAAGACTGCTTTCTTATACTGTATAGGGGTTGTGTAACCCCTGAGCATCCATCACTGCAAGCATGTCCTTTCTGAAACATGTCAAGAAGATACCCTAAATCATGATGGATACCTGAACCAGTAGGAACTGTACGTAGAGGAATCTAAGTAGGTGTTTCACTATAGAGAAATTGAACTGCTAGATGTCTATCCATAGTATATATCTGGCCTACCACAAAATAACAGTTGTTACTGGAGTAACTATCTTGTTTATCGTATTACCAGGACACCCCCTCCTCATTTCACCAGTACAACTTTTTTTAAATTGCTAGAGCTTTCCTTCCATTTTTTTAAAACAGTTCAGAATGACCATATCATATGAGAAGCAGCATATGCCATACGTAGACCTTGTATGAAAACCTGCATGTGTGTTTGCATGTCTGATCAACCATTATAATTCATCAATATCTGTATGCGTGAACAGTATCATTTGGTCTGACATCAGAATTGTTTTAACTGCATTGATAGAAAGAAATGTCAAAGATTTTTGGAGGAAGAGAATGAAAAATTGTAAACATAAGAAAAATATATATTTATGCTCTCGGCAGCCAAATGTGCTTTTTAATGGAATCTAAATAGATGGAATTTTTATGACAAAAAAGCAACAGTAAAGGCAGTGATTATATTTTTCATAGTTCATTTGCCTTCTTTGCCCTGCAGATCTTGTGGGGAAGGAAAACAAGATCCCTGTTGAAGTCTACAGTGTGACTGACTCTGAAGAAAGACTCTGAGACCCATTGGTGTTTAATGAACCTTATTGGCCTGTGCAATAGGAACTGGCTACACAGTTCTTTCAAAATGGTAAGAAATGTCATTTTTTGTTGTTGTGGGTTAATATGGCAGCTAGGCTTTCTTAAAGACTGCCACCTTTAAACAGTTGATCTGTAGGGCAGGGTAACTGAAGGTGCTTGTTGACATCATGAAACCAGACTAGAGATGTGATTGCAGAGAGTGAAATTGCTTTAAAAATTGTTTGGCCTTTGTGAATTTCCAGAGGAAACAATCATTACAGATGAGTAAGGAAAGTTCACAGTCCTCTTTTCATTTTAAATGTCCACATCTGATACAGAATTAACCGAGGACTGGTTGAGATGTCAAAATGATCTGTCTATTAAGGCATGTCCCTCAATCCAATGAACAAACTATGAAAACCAGAATTTTCAACTTTCGCCGAATGTTCGTGTCTATTATCCAGCAAATGGTAACAGCCAAACACTGTAAATATACATAAGAACCAGGGTGATGTAAGGGGCTAGAAATGGACTAGGACTCAGAAGGCTTGGGTTCAAATCCCCCATTCATCCACGAAGGATACCGTGCCAACTCTACTTTCTCAGCCTCACCTACCTCACAGGATTTAGTGAGGATAAACTGATGAGGAGGTGGCTCTTATGCACCACTTCAAGCTCCCAGGAGGAAAGGCAGAATATAAATGTGACATTTTAAAAAAGTCATCCCTACAGTATCTTACTTTAAACACATCTGATACTATTTAAATAATGCAATATTAGTTGTTCTCTTGTGCTCAGTCACTGATGGCACCTCCAGGTCTGCAAGCAGGTCTTCCTTTCCGGTGCAAGGTGCTTCAAGGTTCTTAGTCTTTTTGGAGCTGCAATGTGTCATCTGTTTTGTGAACATCTATTTCCGTGCTGTTTAGTTTAGCACAGAGTTGCAGATGAGCCTTGGAAATGTATGTCAAAGGCTTCTGCGAACCTTCGGCGTAGACAGCGTTCTCTCCCAAGACCCCCTTTGACATTATAGGAGTTGGAGCTGTGACAACAGAACCACTGAGTCACTGCCAAGGAGGCTGTGGCACTAGGCTATCTAGCAAGGCACTGTAGCCTGACATTTGCCATCTTTATACAATGCATTTTATACCTTTTGTATGCATCTATTGTATACTCTTCTGAGAACGAAGAGGAAATCTTGATAAGATCGCTTTATTTCACATATTCTGTGGTGAAAAAGCGGGAGCACAGATAGAGCTGTAGACTTTTCCCTGTTTTATATTCTAAAGTTTCCCGCAGTAACAAAATTGTAACCTTTCCCTAACTTATTTTTCCTGAAGGTTTCTGTTGGACATGGCTTGCCAAGGTGTGATGACTTAGCTAAATGTCACTCGAAAAGATAGATGAATATTAATTAGAAGACATTTTTTATGACATGTCTGATCAGTAGCAGCTAGTTAAAATTTCTTTGGCCCCATGAGCAAGCTGAGGTGACAAGGTCTTCATTTAAAAGGCTCAGAATAAAGGACATTCTTTCCTCCGGTACATCCCTTCCACCACCTTGAGCCTTTCTTTGCATCCCAGTAAGTCATGCTACCTTTTAAGTGGGGTCATAGTTCTCTATTTTCAACTCACCCCCACAATGTAAACCCTTAAGGGATGGTGTTTTTTGGTAGTTTTGTCATGTTTCTTCAGGCATAACTACACATTACATTAAATACATTTAATGTGACTGTTTTTTAAAAACCAAAATTAAAAAATATGAATAATCTAATAAGGATCAGGACCATGGTGCATGGGGGTGGCAGGACTAGTAAAAGAACAACCTAACATGAGACGTTTGCAAGGTCTGAGTAGAGCTGTTAATGACAGTGCATTTTGGAGGTCATTAATTCATATGGTCTCCACAGATCAGAAGTGACTTAATGGCACATAACATCTTTGGAGCTTTGCCCTTTATTAGCAAACAATTGTATATGACAAGATGGGTTGGAATGGTTGAAGCTATAACAAGATATAGGCACCAAAACTGTGCTAACTTTGAGTAAAACCATCCTCAGTCACAAAGCAAAAATCGGTAATTTAACAACTTAAACAAGTAAGCTACTAGCAGAGAAGATTTGTTCGCTATTCTTTTTTAAAATATCTTTTAAAATATTTTTATAGCCAGACACAGAATCTCTTTACCAGCACCAATGCCTGTTTGTCCATGAAGGTGTTAAAAAGTTCTTTTCTTGAGAGTCAGTTAACTGGGACCTAACTGACAGGGTGAAAATTCAGATTGCTCTAAACCTGGAGGTGCTTTCTCTTTAAAAGACTTATTTTAAAACCTCCATTGTCTTTCATAGATCTCACTCATATGGCACACAAAATAATTCATGTCTGTAAACTGGAAAATTCCTCAGATGGAAACATGGATCTTCATTTTTTGACCTACATGATAAGATCTAACAAAGGGAAGAGGCAGTTATGTATACATACCGATGTTTTCTAGCATATGAAGATGGAAGTAGTGTCTTTAGATTTCCTGCCTACAAGTCAACTGCATAGCATCCAGAAAATTTCACTGGGTGCAGTTACCATCTCTACATGCTGGTGGAAGCTCCCCTTACTGCACTTTTGAGCAGTATTTTGAATATTAATTGTCATAGTTTATAATTTGCTAGGTCAGAGGCAAGGAAGGAAGAGGCAGAACATTTGGGAGGTAACAGAGCAGGTTGTTTAAACTTCTAGGGATTAAATGGTCACTTTCAAGTAAATAAAAATAACACAGGGAGTTAAACAATATGAGCAGAACCTTTAAAAATGTGTGGAAGGGAAGTTGAGGATCTCTTTAAAGTTATTTGACAAGGGGTCTGGCACATGCTGAGTATATGTTGTAGTATGTGATCAGGCACACAACCAACCTGCAAGTAGCACATGCTCATTAAGATGCACTCTCTTCCATGATTTCTTTTTCACCCTCACGTCAGCAATAAATCCCGGCCTATGTAATTAATGTAATACCTGTTTTGATCCCAAGGAGTTTTAAATCGCTAAGCAGTTCTATGGAAAACCTTGTAAATAGCTTTAGACAAATAGCTTCTGTTGATATGAAGTAGTCTTTTGCTCTTAATATCCTTATCCTATACACATGAAAATATAGATATTCTTGCAGACCAAGGTTGCCTCATTCAAATAAAGGTGGCATTTATTTGACTTACAGTTGGCTCCAAAGTCTGATACTTTTTGTGCCACATGACAGCAAGCTATGTTTTAAATTGGTTCCTTAGTAACTGGCTTTGATTTGCTCACAAACTACATATGAGAATAATATTGTGGGTTGTACGTTTGAACAATTTGTCATACATAAGGTGATCATCGGGGCTTTTTCCTCTCTGTTTTTTTGAAACTTTTAAGTTTTGTAATTTTGCCTTAAAAATTCGTGGGCTTTATGAAAAGCAACAATTTATACAAAAGAAGATTCTTCTTGAAAATCAGTTCAGTGTTAAGCAATGTACTTGCCATGTGGGAATATTAATAGGAAAGAAAATGACAGAGATATATAAGAAATTAAACTAGACCCCAGGAGGTTAGATATCTGTGAACATTCCAATGAATACTGTAATACTTATAGCCCACCATTTTGCCTTCAGAAGGAAAACATATGCAGAATATTAGTTTTCAATCTTCCTCCTTGGATTTGATACATCTGGGGCACAGAATGGAGTAAGGCCCTTTGCGAAAGGGAACAGAATTCTGGTGTTTGCAGTTAGGACTCAAAACTATATAACTGTCTTAATATACATCTATACCAGATCTAATTTGGGCTAACACGTCCTTACATCTTACAGGTAAAGCAAGGGAACAGGGTCCTTGTTACTCTTTGGTTTGGCTTGCCAAATAGATTTCACAGGCAGGTTACAGTCTTCTGGTTAAAGGAAAGGTGTGTTTTCTGGAGAAGGGAGGGGAGATGAAGGTAACCAGGAAGCAGCTACTGGAGTAGGTATCCTATTCTTTTTTAAAATATGGTTGAGGAGGGAGATATGATGGTTGAGGAGATGGCTCCAAACTGTCCCTTACTTCAAATAGGCTAGATGGCTTGAAGAGCCTAGGCAACAAGCCCCATCAGCTAAAAATGCTGCTATTGAATGCCAGGCTGGCAAATGGGAAAACAGACACCACCCAGTATTTGATCCTAGATGCCAGCTTGGTCTGTATTACAGAGAGCTGGCTGGATGAAGCTGGGAGGAGGATAGCAATCTCTCTCTGCTTTGTCTGCCTGAATTTTCTTAGTAGCAGCAGGTGAAACTGGAAGAGAAAGAAAGTGAAGTTGCACTGGTCTCTTCTCATTCTCTCCCTCCTCACTCCCAAGTGGAGTGTATGTATCAGAACGTCGGTGCATGGGACAAAATGTGGGTATGCTATTCTGCTGAATAAGTCAGATGCCTCCCTGCCTGAGCTAGCCAAACTGGTGTCAGAAGTGACACTGCAGTCTCCTAGGCCTGGCTGGGCAACTTCAACATCCATGGGTCAGTCCCAGCTGGTATCTTACCCCAAGCATACTATAGGACACAATCTGGAGCTGGTACTGTGCACTGGGTGGATTGATGGTGATCTGTGTATGAAGGGATCTGTGTAGTCCTGGTATCATGGATAGATCACTGCCTGGTGAGGTGGAATGAATCACTGGGAATCTGAGCTTCTGAAACAGGAGCAATTAAGATGATCCACTCCCAGAAGCTCTTGAGGAGTTGCTTGTCACTTCAGCAAGGGATCCTGCTGAGGTGCTGACTAGCTTCTGTTACTGGACGATGATTAGGCTGTGGACATGCTTGCTTTTATGGGTTCATGGGTGCAGCCAAGCAAACTCCCCAATTAGTAAAGCTGGTGGTGACACTGTGAATGGGATTGAGACCAGGGCTAGGTTGGCAGAAAATATAGACCAGGTCCTACGGAGCATGGGCTTGAGCACATTGGGAGAGCTATTCCATGGCAATGGTAGCGGTAAAGGAATGAGCTGCAATGGGCCAGATGAGAGTCAATCAACTGAAGCTGAATCCTAAGAAGATGGCGGTTCCCAAGTCCAAGTGT